ATTCCACGCAGTGCGTCCATGGCGTAAAATCACGTTTTGCAGAAGCGTACTGGTACCGTTCTACCGAGCCTACCGCCGGGCTGTGGCGGCAGGGCCCACGTCGTCCGCCGGCAGCCTCACCTCGTCCTCCAGCAGCGAGCGCTGGATGGCCGACCAGGACGGGTCCGGGTAGTGCATCGTGGTGGTGGCCGAGCCGAAGTCGCACAGCTTGATCAGGCCGTCGTCGCCGATCAGAAGGTTCTCGACCTGGCGTCACAGGCGGGGCACGGCGTCGAACGTGGGCGGAACACGGAAGCCCGGTCCACACGATCGCTGCTCAGCTCCTGCGACCCGGTCACCCACCCACCCCCATCCTCCGGTTCAAAACCACTCATCCTCCACGACAAACAGGGAACTTACTGCACGACAACGCGCTATCGGGTCAACACCTCTCTCATTTAACCCCCGCCTGTCAGGGTCGCTGACGCCACCTGCCGAGCGGCGCGCCTCGCCCGTTGGTCGGGAGCGTACCTTCAAGTCGCGGTGCAGCACGGGCGGCTCCTGGGCGTGCATGTGCTGCACCGCCTTGCAGGTCTGGTACATGATCTGGCAGACCTGGTCGGCGGGCAGGGCGCGGCCGGCCAGCCGCAACACGTCCACCAGGTTGCCGCCTGTCGGGGAGCGCAGACGCACAGCTGACAGCGAGGCGGGGAGCGGCGCCGGGCACTGCACGAGCGGAGGCCGGCCTAACGGCACCGCAAACAGCATCCCGCCTGGTAGGGGCGTGGCTTCCGATTAAGTCAGATGGAGGCTTCAGTCCCCCCTTCCAACTTTCAGGAGCGCGGGCCAAATCTGAGCAGAAACCCGTTTGTTTGGGAACTTTGGGGGCATGCAGCGTCACATTTGTTCTCTGCTCAACCTTCCTCTGCCAACTCATGTTATGAAATCTCACCTATGCTACATCACCCAGCCAGCCAGCTGCCATGAAGTCTACCACGCTAAGAACTCACTCATCATGTTCAATGCAACAGCTGAAGGTTTAGTTTAACATGCATAAGCTGATGGTTTGCAAGAAAATTATCCTCCGTATTGGTTTTCCGAATCACATTTGTGGTGTTCCCAGGATGGACTAGTCCACCAAACAGCCTTCTGAACCTCTTTGACCAGCATTAGCGATTTGAAGAAACCAGTACATACCACCTAACCCTTACCTGTGCAAAGTTCTGTCACCACCAGGTATTCGTTTCGTCCATGCCCAGACTGGGCTTTGTCGATGGCGGCCGCCGTCAAATACCGAATGACATTGGGGTGCCCAGACAATTTTTTCTGAAGATGCAGCTAAGGAAACTGAACAGGTCATGAACAGGTAACATCACGAACAAACCTGGAAATTTCATGTGATCTCTATGGAATGATCCCTTTACCAACACAGTGAGTAGTCTATCTCACTCATCCTTCAAAAGCCACATTGATGATTTGTTCATGTAATGGCCATGCACTGGTCACTGCTGAGAGCAGTATGTGGTCAAGCATTTCACAAGGCATTTGACAGCAGCACTAAAATTTCAGTACATATATATATATATATATATATATATATATATATATATATATATACATTTGACATTCACATAGGAAGGTGTACCCTTGCTAATTATGCTACACCTTGACATTATTGTGTCTGAATCCTTTATGTCTAACCTTTTTCTGGCAGTTTGCATGACAAATTTTAGATTGAGTTAAAGTGCTTGTAAATAGTATCAGCTGTATGCATGCTGAGACCCTACACAATCTGTCACTTCAGTGTAATTAATTATTTATCTCCTGCCCTTTTGCCAGGCGGGACTGTAGCATGATTTAGATGTCAAACACTGCTGCAGCATGACCTCTGGGGCCTGGATTGACTCACCTGGCCAGTGCTAGCTCAAGTCAAACCAAACAACATGCCCATCTTGAAACTTGTTCCTAATATCAAGAGATCGAATATCATGCATATTTCCCCTGGCCATCCAGGCAGCGTAAGATTTGTCCCATGTTTAACTTTATGCAGAAAGCTATTTCCAGTTGAGCTATCTTGCATCTTGCAGCAATTTTCTGCACATAAGGGGCAGGACAGGAGCTGACTAATCATGTTCTTCATGTCTCAGCAGTCTGCTAGTTTACAACATTGCAGGCACAGACTACCTATCTCTACTTTAACCAAATTACCTACTTCTAATTTTTTGGCAGTATCCCTCTCAGATCTCCTTTCCTCCGCTCTACCTTTCACATTCTCTTGAAACCTTCATAGCACTGATATGTTGATACAGGCTTTGTTTACACAGGTTCATTAATACAGGTTTTGTTTGCACAGGTTTGCCTAAATCAAGCTTAACATTATGCCTCATACAGCACAGCCTGATTAAGATTAACAAGTATTCTTGTTGCATGGGCCATGTTTTGATGCTCATATTGTCAGGTTTTCAAATGGATGTTTAAAAAGTCCTGTATGGACAATGCCCAGTTTATCTACCAGGCACCTTGTAAAAGTCATTGTTTAGGATAAGGATAATAAATATTTATCAAACTGACAGTGCAAGACAGAATGCAAAAACAGACACAAACATGACAAAACTGCTGTCTTTATTGAAAAAGGATACCAGTAGACCGATTTCTTGTCTGATGATCCTGTCCACGTCAGCATCTGAGCTGAGTAATCTCTTCAAAGCAAAATATTTGCCACTTGTAACTTCCTGAGCCACATACACAAATGCAAACCCACCTGTCAAAAAGCATTTGCACCAGTTAATAACAAGTCAGCATTACAAAGACAAGATAAGGACAAATTTAGATAACACCTGCCACCATTTATGATGCACTTACATGATAGGTGTACCACATCTTATACACACAATCACTTTACACATTAGCTGAGTAAATCTCACTTCCAACAGGTTCAGAAAAGTACAGTGCATATATGAGGAAATGCCATAACCATGTTTCATATTTGTAACCCTGAGACATCAGAAAGATCTTTACTGTCAGTAAGTTGCTAAAGCCTGCATGTTATGTTCAGTGAACTTACCTTCCCCAATTTGCTTCTTGACACGCATCTTAGCATTTCCAAGCTCAACAACTTGTCCCACAAACTCATTTGTTTGGACGGAGGATGTGTCATTGAAATAATTGAGAGCAGATTTAAATACAGACATACTGGCTATTTAGGAAGCCAACAGCTACCAGTGTATCAACAATGGCAGCCTGCTGGCAGCAAATGCCTGAGGCAAAAGTAATAAAAACCCTGTCCTGAAGTCAGTGGCAGCTGGCAGTAAGTTATCAGCTGCCTCAAAGCATGCGGCTTAACAATCACTCCTGAAAGAAAGCAAATAAATTAGCCTTGCACTCTAATCTGTCCATCACTGTAGCTTATCTACCGTGAGAATCCGATGAATCATTCAGCATCAAACAGGATAACTTCCCACGGCATGCTAACCGGCTGAAATCATTTCAAATTCCGCGACCATTTAGTCTCTGAATATGGACGTTCAGAGTTTCGCACGATCCACCAATTCCAGCAAACGCCTTGCAAACCTTAACACGATCTATTTCCAGAACCTAGTATCAATTTATCAAACAACTGCGATGGCCACCCGCTGCTACCCCAATTTCCCTAGGTACTTTTCCCGAACGACCAAGGACCTACCTCCCTGTTACGAACCAAACATCACATCCAAGTGCGGGTGGGCAACCAATGGAGGGTCTGGGACTTCGCTGAGGTCCCGAAAAAAACAACAGCTGATACCACGCAAGAGAAAGCTTAAAGTTGCTATATAAAATGACCACGCATCAGCTTAGTTCGCTGAGTCTTAAGCCACACCATAAGGTGAGCTAAACAACCTATATATCAATTTTAAATCGTAATAGTCATATCTAAAATGCAGTTATTCAGATGTAGCTTAGAAGTGAAATTTATCCTGACGCATTTTGAACGACGTGGAAGAACTTACTCCACAATATTATTCAAATGCGCCAGGCACGCCGCAGGTCCGCAAACGGGGCCTGATGTTGTCCTCAGCCAGAGCACGTAGAGTCTCAGAATAGGTGGGGAGGTACGTGTGTTTGTGTGTTGAATGATGTAGTTGGGATGGCTGTTTGCAATTGAGATGATCGACTTCAGTTATCTTGGCAGAGTAGGGCGAGGGTCGCTTAATGCCATTGGGTTGAATGTCGTTGTCCCGGAAATGGGAAGCTGGTGGGTTTATTCATTGCGTTACATGGCATTGTGGTAAACATACTGCATAGGTGGTAGATGGTAGGTAGGTAGGTACGTAGGTAGGTCAGTTCCAGCCTAGATGTGTGGCTACCATTGAAAGAGTGTGAGAAGTAGAGTGAGAGATACCCTTCTGATGTCTGAACCCGAACATGAATTATTTAATTCATGGTAGGGTTCATTGAACATTGTTGAACATTTGTTGTTCATTAAACAACCTCATACCTCAACCTCAACTAATTTGCCCAATTACAATTTTACTTGACTAGTAGGAGCTTGATTGAAGTCTTGTAATATTGCACAGGGGTCCAACCTTACTTTGTTTTTATTGACATTGTGATCGCTCACATGAAACCTACATGCTTCATGTGCTGTTACTATATGATATATTTGATATGTATATATATATATATATATATATATATATATATATATATATGCTGATATGATATGCTGTGCATTCATAAGTGTAGCAGAACAGCATTTCATTTTTCTTTAAATAGGCCTGTGTGGATTTTGCTCCATGAGCTAAAAGCATTGGACAGTGTGTATACACCCTCCAAAATAGAGGGCTGTTATGCTCCTGGCTTATACACCCTCTAAAATGGATGAAGACTATGCACAGGGCTTATACAATGATACACCCCCAAAAATTCTCCAGATCAAACAATTTACTACTGAAATAATGAAAAGCTAGAGTTGTGAGTCAAAGAAGGCAGGTAATATTGGCTATAAACATCAGATGGTCATCAATGATCTCCATCTAATCAATGTTTTCTGTATTTCTGAATTGTATAAATTTGAACCTGAGAGCACAGGGCCAGGTGATAGTGCATCTGGCTCATACTGACAACCCAGTCCAAGCTCTTCTTGGGTGCATCACTCTGAACAAACCATTGTGAAGCAGTTTTAAGTCTTTCAGCCATGAGGGGGAGGTGCCACCAAACTTAAAGCAGCTGCTTTGCTATCTATTCCACATTATCTCAACAGTATGCTAATTGTTAGTTTGCATATTATTGGTTTAATGACCAGTTAATAAAGCTAACCTGGCAGTAAAATATAAAAGTGGATTTTTTTCCATGCTGTTTGAATCATTTTGAAACTCAATTTTTTGCCATGTTCTTCAAGTTCAATTTCCAATCTCTAGTCAATCCTTCACCAGTTATGTACTGTGGTATTGTGAGGACCAGTGAGATTAAGATGTGAGAAACATGTGTTGAGATCTGCAACTTTCAGCCACTGATGTGCAACTGGGGCCCAAACTGAGAAAGCTGTTGTGTACAACCATATATATAAAGCTTGGAGGGCAAGCAGGCAGCATTGCTAGGTAAAAGTGGTACTTCCACAATCTTGCCTGCTAAGACTATTGGCACCCAAGTAAGTAAGTAACAATGAAAATGCACTTAGGGTTGGTGGTTCACATCTTCCAGGTACAGGCAATAACCTCTCCTTAGCAGTATCTTGAGCCTAAATATTTTAAAACCAATTGTAGCAACCAGCTGGGAGAAGCACTGAATTGGGGCATGTATGTACTTCATTGGATGGCATCATTGGGTATAGATTGGTTGTTGTGGTTGTCAGGCATAGACACAATCTCCATGCAACATTGTGCTGTTTACTTGTTTCGTAACTAACTACCCCCATTTGTTTCAGGATACCCGGAAGTAGTTGGGAGTAGCACCTGGATTTGTCCACGTCTCAAGATCTGTTGACAATGGTATGTGTCTTTACTCATTTCATGTTTTAATGGCGTGTGTGCCAGCTTTGACTTTTTCTTTGTGTTCGCCATGTGAAAACATGTGAACCTCATTTCAGCATCACATTTGGTTTGCATGTCATGATGGAAAATACTGGGAACTTTGTGTCAACCCACCATAATGAATGACTGGCAATTATAAAATTAAAAACCTGCAGCAATTTGGTAAAAGGCATGGTTCGCTGCATGATCGACCCATTGTGATGGTTTAGTTTACCATGACGGCACAGTGGATGGACGACACAGCCCACTCGCCGTTTGAGAGCATCTCCCAAACTGTTCACGGCATCAAAATGGAATTAGAGCTAGAGCAATTCGAACTGTTTTACCACCAGACTAAGCAATCTCAACTGCGCAACATGCCAGGTTACCGACCCATGGCCGTGCTGCCAAAGCTCCGCGCGGCGACAAGTCGCAAAATCGGCGCTCCTAGACATGCTTTAAGTCGAGACATGTCCGTACGTTACGTGCACCGGACCATCTTCTGTCACGTGACACCTTGTCTTCAAAATGAAGGTCAGGCTGTTTAAAACCTGTTTTACTTGAACAAAAATGGCAGAGATCACAATGTCGGTGTAATGGTCATGAACGGGCAGAGTCGTGTCAATGTTCAAAACCCGAATGTTGTCATCTGACCTTTCAAAGCCTATCCATATTAGTCCTATATGAATATTCTATGTGCAATGTCATGTAGGTCTAGGTCACGGAAAGTCATAGAACTATCTCAGGTGACCTCAAATCACCCATTGGAAGTAGACTGCTTGCTTTGACCCGTATCGGCTTACCTCTGTGGATATTCAAAAAGAACTACTGACAGCAAGCACTCGATTTAACCCCATGCAACCGGACATGACGCCAACCGTATTAGGTTTACTAGAGCATGATAACGTACATACGTAGATCTAAGATCGGTAAGTCTTGTGAAGGCGTACGTCTGTAGCAAGCTGTTCATGTTACGGCTTGCCCCCCCCCCCCCCCCCCTTCCCCTTCGCGCCTGGCGGGGTGCGGACGGGTCTTCATGCATAGTGAAAGCGCCCGTCGTTCCCAGGCTCCCGTATTTGGGCGCCGTTGGTCAAGGTTGACTCTGTGATGCATGCCATTCAGGACCAGGTGGGCGGCTGAAAGCGAGGGCTCCAAGCTAGGACTGCGCTTTTTCTTCATGATTGTATCTGTATGCGAACCAGACTTGCGATCGTCATTACTACGCCGTGCTTGCGTCTGGGATGCATGACTGACGTCGAGTTTCAGTCCTCGTCGGACCAGACCCGAATCTGTCCTCGCCCGTCTGATCGTATCGGGACGCATAAGTCACGTGACACTGTCGCGTAGCACGCAGCGATATCGGGCTTTGCAGGCCTGGGCAACCGCTTCTTAATTGAAACATTCCGCGGCACGGGAACGTACAGACCAGGGTATCTGAAGATTGTGGACCTTGTCGCAGCGTGGGTGCGATGCCTTACCTCACGTGCCAACCAGGTCCTAACTTAACCGCTTACCGGGTCCATCTTGTTTTTAGTAGTTACATCGTTATAAACGCAAAGGCTGGTAGCGGACTGTGTTCAATGTAATATATTTTCTCATCGTTTTCTACATGCAATCAGAAGAGGAAAGCAGTCTGAAGCTACATGAGACGTCCATTCTCAACGCAGCATTACGATTTCTCCTCTTCGTTGGCTTTGTTTTTCCGCTTCCTGCTCCCGTCGTTTGCGCCAGGCTTGAATATACGAACGAGGATGAACGGGGAAGAATCCGACCAACCCTGGAAACAAAAAGAATGGGTAGTCATTTCAAAAGCTGCTTTTTCTTAACAAGACCGTGCGACCAGCATGATTATGACGCTGGTCCGAGACAGAAAACAAAATGTGTTGATGACATCAATTTCATGAATAAACGAAATATTGCCAGAGTTCATAGTATCATTTTGTTATGCTGAACAGGGCCCATCGAGTCGGCTCGAAATATACAACTTCAGGTCGAATTTACCCTGCCCATATTCAAACGTCTCTTGCAGCCAAATTCACTTGTTTTTCATTTACACTTGGTTACGCCGCGGCCCTCCGAATGTCAGTAATATTCGTGGCGCGGATTGTGTTGGTCTGTGTCCGTTTGTGCGCGCTCATAATTAAAATCTGGTCACTCCCATGCTGTTGCTACGTACTGCTGCATGTTAACTTTCTGGTGATTCTTACCAAGTAGCTGTTGCACTGGCAGTGTCACTTCGACGCTTTTCCTCTGTCCAAGCCAGTGTTGGAGACGCTCAAAATTGATGGACAACAGGCGCTCATTGTTGATGTTTGGCATGGGGTCGTAAACCCCCAGCTGCTCCAAAACGGGACTCGCGTGCGCGCCGCGCATGGTGTTTCTGCAACATAAGACACGTGTTGATGTGTGGTTAACAAATGGTTAGCCACTTTGCTTATTTACCCTGTGGGAGAAAATAGTGGTTTCTGATAGCACAGTCATACAAAGCAATGTTGTGCAATGATTTGCTGTGATGATAGGTAGGCAAATAGTGCAAGTATTACTTAAGAATCTAGTTCTCTATGCACCTCACATTGTCATGCCAAGTGATCTTTAACATGACATTTGCTGCAACAATAACTGGGCAGGGGGGGGGGGGTTATTCCAGGCTTTGGCATTAGGGAAGGATAAGTGATTTAATTAGGTAGGGCTGGGGCATGTTGGTGTTTGGGAGCTTCATACTGCTATACTATGTCTACATCAAAGCAAGGTTCTGCATCCTCTGCCCCTCTCACTGGTGATGTTCCTGGGGAGAACAGTTGCTGCTGTGTAACACTGAACTATTTCTTTAAGTAGCTACTTCAAGACTGTTACCATTAGTTTGCTGGCAATCACTAATTTGAAGGATATTTGCAGGTAAAATATTTCAATTTCAGGTGAAGTAAGCTGCTCAGTGTTAGCTCAGCTGGCCCGTTCTCAGCCAATGGTTAGTTGAACTGCCTTTGGATAAGGCAATGCCAAGCTGATTTTCTGGGATACAATAGCTATATCTGTGGACCCATTGGACAGATGCCAGACCACAGGGGACCACAGAACATAAATTGCACAGCTTTGCAGGATCACCATGTGTTAGTGTGTGGACAAATATCCTGAAAACCTGATGTCATCTGTCTTTTAGTGTTGCCTGCACAGGTTTCCATGATATTTTAGGTAAAGTCCTGTTTGAAAAACTTCTCAGAGTGGTTGCCATCCTCCCAAATTGATATTTGCCATGTACACCACAACATAACTTGTGATATGCATAGCAAACAAGCCTAGAATGGATTGATGTGATGTTGACTGGTGTGCTGCTGTTTGAATTTCCCCAGGTGGGCAGACATGGTACTATTGTGGGGTGGCCATAAAAGTCTGCTCTCTAAAAAAACCTACCAAAATGAGAAGTGCTGACCTGACATAACCTTGCTGAAAGGTCCATTGGTGCATGCTGCAGTGCACTATAATCGGTACTGTGCATCAATTAGGTTGTTTCAGACTCAATGTCTTACATCATTTTGATTAATAAGTTGTGATTTCAACATATAGACAACTCCATCAATATAGCTAGATTGGTGGCAATGCTCAGATGTGGCAGCAAAATGTCATGCCAGCCCACATAAGCTGACATGGAATATAGGCATCATCCCCTCATTACACACATCTTTTCACACTGATATTGCAGGCATTTTTGGGTGGAATATTGCCTATGGCCAAGGTTATGCTCATGCCAATCACTTCAGTAACTAGAAACTTAGAAGTTAGGATGACTGCCACCCCATTAAGTTCTCTTGTTGGTTTTTAGAAAGTAGAGATGTTTTAATAGACATATAACTCATTCATGAAACATCTGGAGAGTTTGAACTTTGAACTCATACCAATCATACCTGGCAGAATAAGATGTTCTGGGAATGTGGCCTGTTGACTACGGTTACTAACCTTTTGCAGTTGGATATGAAAAAATGGCCTGTTTGCGCATCCGTGATATCCCAATCTTATGGCGAGCGCGGCCCGATTCATTCTACCCATGGCGTCTTCTTGAATATTCAGCCTTCTATAACGCCACTCTCACTGGATGGTTTTGAAAACCAATATCGACAGGACCAGCAAGCAAACGCGAACAGCGCGAGGACGTTGTGGATGGACCGACCGGGCCCTAGCGCGCAGCAAAACAGCAATCACGATAGAATAAAATGCGTCGGATTTACAGGCCGTGCGCCATATTCACCGCGCAACATTCTGACTGTAATAGAGATGGGCAAGTATGTAAATCCACGTATGGTACGAGTACAGCGAAGGAAAGTCTGTGCAGACAGCGGGATGAGCTCCGTAAGTGCGTTCGAATGAACTTACGTCGGAGGATTGCGTTCTAAAGAGGTTCTGAGCTAGCAAGGCCGAGTACTCGGAAGTTTAATTGATGTTTCCATTGCGTCATCAAACCGGCGCAGCACGGGGCGATAAATGGGAACTATCGCGACAGCCGAAGTTGTGTGCTTGTGCCCAGTATTATGCCATCAAAGTAGTTTGTAGTACATCGATTGAATTAGTTTCGATGACCCATGTCACAAACCAGTTGCTAGATGTCTAGAACGCTTGGCTTCGGCTTGCAACTTAATAAATTTTATGAAACTCCGTTCCTGTGGCTTGGTTTCTAAATCGCTGTTGAATCAATGAAGCTCCAAACACATGTGTGTTTGGTGCCCCTGAAACTTAACACCCTCATCCCCTTACAAAGAAGTGCCCTTGTTTTGGCCACTTTGTTTTTAGATTCCTATGTTGTATCGGCAGTACGTCTTGGGCCGGAATGATCCGCCCGGTTCATTTCACGTCGTTTTAGACGCTTATTTTCTGTTATTTTTGTATGTTGGACCTGAAGATTTGGGCCGGTTTGTGGGGCCCATGAAGTTTGGCGCATCTTGAAGACAAAGGTGATGGGGACCCGAAATGAGGATTTGGTGCTCTTTTTCCACTAGATTTCGGGTCCCCTTCGGCCCAAGAGGGCATGACCCCATTCCCCCCCCCCCCCCCCCCATTCGGAATCCGCCATTGCATATGCCACTGTTTTGTTTCACGCCTCAAATATCTGCATAGCTTGATGAAGGTTCTGTCGTGAACGACGTGTGCAGGCTGTGGTTTCAATGAATTCGTTGGGTGGACGTATTTGCAATGTTGAATGTTATAACTCATGCGCGTTGCTTGTTTCTTTGGCATGCTTACTGTCTGGCGTTCACGGAGGTCTTCGTTTCAGGTGTCCCTCATCAGCACCGTCGATACGGGCCACGAGGATATGATTGTAAGTTTGTAAACCACTGGGCCAAATGTTCCCAGCATGTTTATGCTCGTGTTGATCATATCCGTGCTTGTGTTTATTTGACATATTTGCGAATATTGCAGCTTTGTGATCGTCATTGTCTTTTCAGTGGTTGCAAGATTGGCTTTGCAATCGCATTTCACCTTGCGCAGACCACCCATGCTTACACGTGTTGGCCGTGTTTGGTCGCATACCCACTCATGGCTATGTATGGCCGCTACCCACAGTGCCTGTATCCCGTCGTGTGGCTGTATGTGTCCGGGTGGCACGTGAGGCGATATGGGTTGTCGGTTGGAGCCCGTGCCAGCGGGCGGCGCCAGACGGCTGACCCGAGCCACCGGTGCCGCAGCACGACGCCCAGATGGACTTCTACGGCACCCGGCTGGCCACCTGCTCGTCGGACGCCACCGTGCGCATCTTCAGCGTGCGGAACGGCAGCCAGACGCTGGAGACCGAGCTGCGCGAGCACCAGGGCCCGGTCAGTGAGATCGGCCGGGTCACTGCCGCACGACCGCGCTGCTCGACCAGCCCCGGGGCGTGCACGGGGCTGAGAGTTCATGGCGTGTGTGTTGACTAGCCGACTAAGCTGTGGTGAGAAAACCGCGCGGTGGCGGGGACAAATGTTGTTTGCCGTCCCGTTTCGTCGGCTACGCCTCTTGAGTGGGATTGGTCGGTCACGTAGGGAGAGCGAGGGGCGGCCAGGGGCAGCAGCAGACTGAGCAGTGCTGGAGGTCAGCGCTGCGACGGGTGCAAACGCGGCCCACCACCCCGGGGGGACGGGTGCGCCCCGCACGCTGGCCGGCGGTGTGACTGACTGGCGCGTGTCTGGCAGGTGTGGCAGGTGGCCTGGGCTCACCCGATGTACGGCGCGCTGCTGGCGTCGTGCTCTTACGACCGGCGCGTCATCATCTGGAAGGAGACGGCCGGCCGCTGGAGCCGGCTCCATGAGTACGCCAACCACGACTCGTCGGTGAACTCGGTCTGCTGGGCGCCGTACGGACTGGGCCTCATCCTGGCCTGCTGCGGCTCCGACGGCTCCATCTCGGTCATCACCTACACCAGCGCCGGAACCTGGGACCCCAAGAAGATCAACAACGCCCACACGGTGCGTGGGTGGCCGCTGCCGCCGGTAGGGCGTGTGGGCGCCGCCCGCGGCGTCATGTGCAGCTGACATGCAGTTGTCGTAGCGGTGGCCGTTTGACGTAGCAGAGTGCTCCGTTTGGTGCTCCACAGTGTAAGGTCTGGGGTAGCACTCACGGGAAGTCCGTAATATCGTTGGATTTTGCATCGTACAGCGTCGTAGGCTTAATTGGGGGAGAGGAGAAATGCAGAGGGTCGAAGTCGGGCGGCTGCTGCTCCGGCCGTGTCCGCCCTTACGGCCAGTGTGCATGGGACGGCGCTGGGCCGTACACCAGACGACGGATCCCCGTGGTCTTCAGATCGGCTGCAACGCTGTCAGCTGGGCGCCCGAGGTGTCGGCCGGCAGCGTGCTGGAGAACCAGCCGCAGAAGGTGCAGAAGCGCTTCGTCTCGGGAGGCTGTGACAACCTTGTCAAGATCTGGAGGTACGCGCCGATGATCGCTGATGCCATTGCCCGCTATGCACCGGGGGACTCCTGTGTGTGACCTGTCCACATGGTCGATGCTGTTACCATTTGGGACTTGCGACGCACTTAGCAGCTGAGGTTGAATGGCTTCGCCTGCCTCTGACCATGGCAGCAAGTGCGGGCACCGCAAGGAATCGAATTCCGTACGTCTGTCTTCCTCGACACTAGACAAGTGTTATGAAGAGGTGGTCCTCCACGCATTCGTTTTGACTGCAGGTGTTTCGGCTGACTGCCCGTTTTGTCCTGTTACGGACTCGCCGCGTGACACCGGTGCCGTGGCCCGCAGGGAGGAGGAGGACCAGTGGGTGGAGGAGGTGAAGCTGGACGCGCACTCGGACTGGGTGCGGGACGTGGCCTGGGCGCCGTCGGTCGGCCTCAAACGCCAGCTAATCGCCAGCTGCTCGCAGGACCGGCGCGTCATCATCTGGGAGAACGACGGCGTCGGCACCAGCTGGACGCCGCACGAGCTGCCCACCTTCCCCGACGTCATCTGGCACGTCAGCTGGTCGGTCGCCGGCAACATCCTGGCCGTCAGCGGCGGCGACAACAAGGTGGGCCGGCTGTCCCCTTGTACTGTCGTCCGATCGGTGCGCACAGTCCGCGAAATTGCAGGCGGTACGAGTGAATCCGGAATGCAGCGAGACATCGCGTTGCATGGAATGTATTCTCACGGTGTGAAATCGGTGCAAGCATACGAAGTAAACGATTTGGCATAGCCCGTCAAAGCAGCGGACTGAGATTGGCAGTTCAGCTGTTTTGCTGCTCCTGCGCGGTGCTCAAAGGCCAGTTGTTTCCATTTATGTAAACACGTGGCTGCCTAGTGTGTCCCATTATTCAGCTGGTGCTTCAGGGTGTCTGCGAGAGCTGAGCGTAAAACGCCGGGGAGAGCGGGTCGACATAGACGCCCAGTGACCGCTGCCGTCCGCCGCCCTGTCTCCTTGCCCTGACAGTCTGACCGACCACCCCCGCCCCCTCCCCCGCAGGCCACCCTGTGGAAGGAGACGCTGGAGGGCAAGTGGGTTTGCCTCAACGAGATCAACCTGGGCAAGGGCAGCAGTATGCCGGCGGACCAGGGCACCAAGACGCTGTGAGCCGGCCGGCGCCGGGCGGGCATCAACCTGGGCAAGGGCAGCAGTATGCCGGCGGACCAGGGCACCAAGACGCTGTGAGCCGGCCGGCGCCGGGCGGGCATCGCATCCGCCTGGGTCTGCCCCCCGCGGCGGTGGACGGACCCCGGCGCTGCCTCGAGCCCCGGCGGACCGAGCCGGCCGGGCTGCTGGTGCACCCGTTTTAGGGGGATTCCACGTCATGAAAGCGCGCAGTCGCTGGCTTGTTATGCTCGTAATAAAGATGTATCTGCGGCGGGCATGTTACAGAATAAGTAACGCAGCAGCGGCCGCGGGTGACTGACACAAACCGCCTCTCTCCGCACCCACATGGCCGGCCCAAGGGGAAAGGGGAAGGGAGTTCGTGCTCTCAAATCTTCGTGGTGTGAGGTTCATAGATATCGCATGGTTCAGTCGCATAGCACATGCACGGTCCCGTCGTCTTTGTGTGGGGTTTATCGGGTTTCCTCGATGGGGGCCGGCTGTCATCCTTGGAGAAGGGGGTCGTCAGTGATCACTGGCGCGGACGGGCTCAGTGCCCTCTCGGGCCCAGCATATATACAAGTTTGCAGTCAGAGGGTTGTACCGTTATATTCCGGATTACTTTGTACATTAAGCACACATACACACGTACGACGCCACGTAACATTGGAATGGTAGCGCTCCTTATGGAGTCCCACGGGTCGGTACAGAACAACTTGTCTTTGGCACGAATAGGATCATCCCGCTCGGGGGTAACATCAACGTAGCAGTGGCAGCCGACGCACCGACCGCGGCGCTGGGCCCGGGGGCCACCGGGCTATACACCCACCTCGCGGGACCGTGCCTAAATAAAAACGACTCATCCGGCGGCACGGCTCCGCACCGGCCCCAGACCAGTCCAGCGCATCCCTCCCATGCCTGCGCGCGGATCGCCCGTGACTCAGGCAGGTCAGGTCGTGGTTCTATCGCGTCGAAGGTGGGCTCCCGGCGCAGGCCGTCGAAAATCCGGCCACGACACCTGCACTTCTCCCCTCCCCAGGATCTCTTAGGCCTGCCCAAGTAACCACAGGATGCATACCAGTCACTTACAATTGCGTGTCTGTGTGACCTGACCTGACCTGACCTCAGCTAACCCACGTGCCCGCTCGCGCACGAGCACGCCGCGTGCAACCGCCAGGTCTGAGTCCAAGGCGGACGCGGGACGCTCAGCGCGCGCTGCAGCCCGCCAAGGGCGACCAATGGCCGCCTCCTGAGGCCACGCCCCCCCCCCTCCCCCCCCCCACACCTGTAGGTACACACACACCACAAGCTCAGCAGCCCGTGTCGCACGCCGCCGTCGGGTCCCTTCAGAGCCGGCGCAGACTTCGTGCGTGTGGCGCGTCCCGGTGACTCGGGCGCCGGGCCGGGCACGACCGCCGGCACCGCCGCCCACCGGCCGTCTACACGTGAATGGCGTTGAGGGTCGTCGGCGGCCAGCTGGGCGCTGCACTGCGGACACCGCCGGTCGGCGCTCTGAGGCGGACGGGCCGAAGCGTCAGTGGCGCCAGGTCGACGGCAGGGGTGGCGACGCACAGGCGCGCGCGGTCACCTCAACAGACAGGCGTCCGGCCGGCCAGAGCGGTCCTGGCAGTGGGACAAAGGCCAAAACCCCGTGCGACGGCTGCTGTACGTCAGAGGCTGGCGTCTCCCTCCAACATTTAGCCTTCGACACCCTGCTAACGTATTGTAGTAAGTCAAGAACGCCATGCAAAACCCTTTGGCGGCTGCGTGCGTGCACCGCACGGGTGCTCTACAGGCATCCGCGGCTGGTGGCGGCCGGGATCCGCTGGCCGGCCGACTCACCAGGGCGGCGTTCCAGCACTGTGTGCAGTGCACGTGCCAGCAGTGTGTGGAGACGAGCGGCTGGCGGTAGGCGAGACCGCACGCGCCGCAGCGACACTGGCTGCTCTCGCGCTCCAGCGCCGACAGCTGCGCGCGCAGCCGCTCCAGCTCGGCCGTCAGTGGCGCCACCGTCTCGCTGAAACTGGTCCCGCCGCGGTCAGCACCGCCGTCGTCCGCCGTCTGTCCGGACCGGGCACTGGGCAGAGCCGCCGGCCCACTGTCTGTCCAGACTGGACACTGGGCAGAGCCGCCAGCGCATAGTAACTGCGCACCGGGGCTACTTAACAAAAATAAAGTCAACCATCAACGAAGTAGTACGCAAAGAATAATAACTGGTACCGTCATTTATTGAGACCGAAACCTGATGACTCCCACGCAGCGCTACAAAACTAAAACTAAAAGCTTCGACGCAGACAACAGACAGGCCGCCCGGTCCACAGACACTCCGATACGACCACACTGAGTCAGGTCGACCGACCCTCCAATCAGGTAGTTCAGAGCAAGGCTTCGGCCATGGCAACAATGCCGGACATGACCCGCAATGGCGGATTCGAACAGCGAACCAGCAAAAGACAATAGCCACCGTGTTCGGGCCCACCTGGAGGCCGAACTCTTCTCGGCGGTGGTGTCCGGTACACCGTCCTCGTACCCCGGGCTGCCCCGGGCCGCGTCAGCACCTGCGGCACACGCACACGCCCCTACACACCTGCCCATGCTCGTTAAAAACGTGGCACCGCTTTCCAGAAGCTTTAGCACAGGCTGGGTTCCCCTAAGCGGTGTTTGGATCGCTGGGCAGAGCGGTAATCAGATCAATACAGTCCTTCCAGGAAAGACAATCTGCGGCAGATCTGAGGCGCGAGTGTTGCTTTGACAGCTACGCGGCCTGGACATGAACAGCCTGGGATCACGAGACACTGTCGGCGTGAATTCTTCAGTTGTGTTGAACTACTGTGTACCGCTTTCGTGCAACCTGTGAACTACGAAAATAAAAGGGAATGTACGTGTGCAGTTTGCAATGGGTATATCAGGTAGCTTTAACGAGACCGATTTCACGTGACGTGGTCTGCTGACATCCACATCGTCGACTCGGAGTATTCATAATGGCCAGCGGACCGTGGCGTCAGTGCATGGTGATCAAAAGCAGCATGAACACCCAAAACCCCTGCCCCTGCCGACGCCCCAGCGTGTCACTGCCGGGCCGGACCGGGCGTTCGGTGCGGCGTCCGCCCGTCCGTAGCCGCGGCTCAGCTGGGCGTCGAGCCTGACCTGTGCGCAGGTCGGTGGCGCCCGAGCCGTCGCTCTGCCGGCGCCAGTCAGCGCCGTTACAGTCGGCGTCGCCCAACACGTCCACCTCCTCGTCCTCGGCGGCCGCCGGCTTACGGGGGCTGGACGCCGTCACACTGGTCACCGTGGCCGAACGCTGCCGGCGGGGGCCAGGTCAGACTACCCGTACGCGGTGGACAGAACGACCGCCGTGGCCGGATGACGGCGACGGGGGGGGGGGGGGGAGGCGGGACCGAACAGACGGCGCGCGCGGCACTGTACGTTACGCGTCGTGCACGACGTACTGTATGTAGGCGGGCTCATATCGAGATTGGGCAAAGTAGCGGCCGCACGAATAATCAGTCTTATATCGCGAACGGACATCAGTGCACAGGATCATGGAGCATTTTGACCAGTACTTTGCTGACGGGAGGTGAGACACTAGCGGCTTATTGTATCACTTCGATCGTCATTCAAGACAAGACTGACAAATACGGCACAACGACAAATCATCCAATCCGTGGAACAAACCCCACTCCACGCCCCTGTTTGAACGACCACGGAGCACACGACCGCCGGTTGCGGTGCGTGTTCCCCGCGCTCTGCCGCTCCCCAGCCGAGCTCGCGGCGCCAGCGGCCGGTGCGGCCGTTACCTTGGCGGGCGGCGCCAGCCGGTCGCCGTCCGGCTCCGGGACGCAGCCGCCGCACTCGGCCGCCTCCTCACCGCGCCGCTTACGCATCTTGCAGCGCAGCCGCAGCTGCCGGTTGCCGCGCACGCGGTGGTACGTCTGGCGAGAGCGCCGCGGCCGCGTTAGACGACCGCGCAGGCGACGCCGTACACACCGCGGTGGGTGCCAGCACCATCTATACAGGTTGTGTCCCTCGCCAGAACTCGATCCATGCTGGCAACGTTTGCTCCAACTTCCACTGACACAGTTGGGCAACGCGAAGCAAAAACACAGTCATCTACACCCGGTGGTGTTCAAGTACCAATTAATTATATTTTTACACACCTTTTGTACTAAAGCGCGTCGAGCGACGACGGAAACGTTATTCAGCGTCCCATGAAAGCCCGTAAAAGCTAGAGTATTGCCTTTCTCTCTACAGATGGCACTGGGTGTCACCTTCCGGCTGTGTCTTTGTTCAGGGGCGTGGGCCACTCAGACCCGCCCCACTGCCCTGTTGCGACATCACATCAACATTATTCGACTTTGGAAGCTTTGCCTCGATCGTATTGTTTGTTTTTATTGCTTCATTTAATTTCAAATTAATGAGCTTTACTGGCCAGTTATTTGACAATGGTGGCAACTGGCAGGTCAGTATCAGATGGATAACTCGCAGGAGATGATGTGGCGGATAACGAGGCAGACAGTTCGTTAACATTGCAGCGTTTGTCCCGGGCGATAGCCAGCCTGCTAACAGCGCACCATCTGCCTGCGCACTAGTCGATGAAGATAGCACAGGGGCACAAAGCACGGCGAACAACGACAAAACATGAAATAACGATTTAGAGGCTAACAGCTTTGAGAGGTTAAGTGAACAGAGCTCAAATCCCACGCCAAAATTACCCGACATTTTGTGTCTCCCTCTGATTAATTGCACCTGATGTGCCACTCTAAAAGAACTGAAAATATTACACATTTTCCAGGGTTTTTCCGCCAAGACAAATCTAAGGCACCATCTGTCTGCAGCGGGCGTCAAACTGCAACCATAGTTAGCATTAATCAAACTGAATCAGCGCCCAAAACTTCCTGGATTTGGCACAGTTCCAGGCGCGATATAAGAGACACCAGCTACAGAGGAAGCTCCGGCCACAGACCACAGACGTTGCTTGGACGTTTGTACCATCTTGAGGCTGCGCTTGCTTCTCAACAATGCAGCTCAGGAACAAGGACTTCAACAGCATAAGATGAGGACAGCAGGCGGCTGGCTCATGCTGCTGACAAAGGGATGTGGTATGCGCTCCGACCGGTTCTGAGGAGTAGTGAAGACGAACGAAAGGAGTCTCGCGGCCCAACTGATCTCGTGGTGAAGATGGCACAAAATGCCTTCCATGCACTAAAATGAGCCAAAATAACGCACAAAATGCTTACGAAGTGAAACGTCAAAATCTAAAGTAAAAGTATCTTATCAATGTGCAAAAATTTATTTCAAAATAAAACGAGTACCGTTAGGCGGGGAATCACAACCCATGATTGCCACGTTCCCGCCCATCTCTCAAAAGCGTGCATGAGTCGTCCAAGCACTAATTTACTTGTAATAAACTACATTGAAACTTATCGAAACGCAGATTCAAACCGCAAAAACGGAGTGCCCACTAATCTAAGCCTGATAAGGTGTTATGTGTAATAAATGGGTGAATGAGACACCGCAAGGACGATGGCAAGGGGTAAAATACTAACCCAGGCCAAAGTTCAAGCCGCAGGGAATGCAGGTACCGGAAGCTCTGTTCCGCAGTCTTCTCTTTTAACCTCGTCTCTGTCTGGTACGCACCGACGCTTGTCGTGCGGTTCGCCACCTCCATCCAGATTGGAACGGGCTCCCACCTTGCCGCCCAAGACGTGAGGCATAGCAAAATTATATCCACACTTGTAATAACAGAACTTAATGTGTTACGGGGACGCAGACAAGGGTACGCGGGAGCCATACCCCCCCCCCCCCCCCACTCCCCCCTCTGGGCCATCTGGTTTACTCTAGATACTGGACAATTTCGCAGAAATTCGGGTTAAAGCCGTACGAATATTGATAAAATTTGTATCTGCCCCCCCCCCCCCCACCGAGGAAAAATTCCGAGTATTTCCTTCAATACTTGTCTAAGGCAATTACGCATCAACGGACGGCGCAAATCCATACACGGCATCCTGCTTTTCAATTTTACACGGCTTGATCGACCGAGCCACACGTGACAAACGCTGCAGCTGAGCGTTATTGCGCCCACAGGAAGACACGGCCCGGGTGCTCTGCGACACCGATTCCAGCTGGGCCACACCGGCGCCCCAGCAGAGCCGGTCGTTCCCGAGCGCGCCGGCACCCCGGCAGGGCCGGTCGTTCCCGAGCGCGCCGGCACCCCGGTAGGACCGGTCGTTCCCGAGCACGCCGGCACCCCGGCAGGGCTGGTCGTTCCCGAGCACGCCGGCACCCCGGCAGGGCTGGTCGTTCCCGAGCGCGCCGGCACCCCGGCAGGGCCGGTCGTTCCCGAGCGCGCCGGCCGGTCGGCACAGCACGCCCGAGGCCGATTAACTCGGTCGGCGCCGATCCAAATTACGATCACGGACCCGGACAAAAACGGCTCACATCACCTGGCCCCGACGGCTGTAAATAATGGAGGGACGGGCGGCGCCGGCCGTCCTCCGACGCTGGCCCGGCACCAGCGGACGTGACCAGGCTCCACCGATGACATCTGACCCGGCTGACGTCACGTCATCTCTGACATGACCTCCGGATGAGATCATCTGACCCAACCCACGCCACGTGACCCGCATGTCATCTGACCTGGCTGACATCGTTTGACCCTGGCCAAATGACGTCAGTCAGGTCTGACCAGCTGACGTCACTTGACCAGTGCTCGGCTCCGGGTGACGTCGCTTGACCAGTGCTCGGCTCCGGGTGACGTCACCTGACCAGCGCTCGGCTCCGGGTGGCGTCACCTGACCAGTGCTCGGCTCCGGGTGACGTCACCCGACCAGTGCTCGGCTCCGGGTGGCGTCACTTGACCAGTGCTCGGCTCCGGGTGACGTCACCAGACCGGGGGCTTGAACTTCTTTGTACCCCGACCTTTGGCCCGGCGCACGGCTCAGTAGGCCACTACGGCGTCCGCTCCAGGTGCGAGGAGCGCGCCGTCCCAGCGGCCGGTGACAGCAGTCGTGTTCGTATCGCTGACCTGGCCAGCGTTCCCAGAACGGGCCAGTCCAGACCCGGCGGGCCAGGTGCGCACGGGACTGGAGTCGAGCGACCTTCCCCGTCCAGACCAGCCGGCGGGCCAGGTGCGCACGGGACTGGAGTCGAGCGACCTTCCCCGTCCAGACCAGCCGGCGGGCCAGGTGCGCACGGGACTGGAGTCGTGCGACCTTCCCCGTCCAGACCAGCCGGCGGGCCAGGTGCGCACGGGACTGGAGTCGAGCGACCTTCCCCGTCCAGACCAGCCGGCGGGCCAGGTGCGCACGGGACTGGAGTCGAGCGACCTTCCCCGTCCAGACATGCTTTCAGAGATGGTTAAGATATAACGAAGTGCCGACAATTATAGGCGGGGGGCATTTGATTGGTTTAGTGTTATTGTGTTTGGAACTCTTTATCCCCTTGTTAGTCTTTAAAAGAGGCCGGCGGCGGCCGGCTGGCGAGCAAGCAGGGACCCATTTACGCCGCGCCGGCCCGGCCGCCGGCCCTAAAACCATAAAACAATAAAATCGATTGAAAGGCTCCAGCCAAATGCACCGGGCCCTCGTAAAATCGCACATTCAACCGCCGAGATTAACACGGGTGACAATCGGGCTTTAATTCAATAAAACCATTACCATTACCCAGCACGTGTTTGCGTGTAATCGAGCGGCACCAGGCCCGTCCGCTGACCACAGACAGGGAGATTCACCGGTCACCAGAACTGACCACAGACAGGGAGATTCACCGGTCACCAGAGCTGGCCACGGTTCAACAGAGCTGACCACAGACAGGGAGATTCGCCGGTCACCAGAGCTGACCACAGACAAATATTCACTGGTCACCAGAGCTGACCACAGACAGGGAGATTCGCCGGTCGCCAGAGCTGACCACAGACAAATATTCACCGGTCACCAGAGCTGACCACAGACAGGGAGATTCGCTGGACACCGGAGCTGACCACAGACAAATATTCACCGGTCACCAGAGCTGACCACAGACAGGGAGATTCGCCAGTCACCAGAGCTGACCACAGACAGGGAGATTCGCCAGTCACCAGAGCTGACCACAGACAGGGAGATTCACCGGTCACCAGAGCTGACCACAGACAAATATTCACCGGTCACCAGAGCTGACCACAGACAGGACACATCCTATCCACAGACAGGAAGACCCATCGGGCAGACCGGCCAATACGGTCAGTTAACATTCCCTGAGCACAGTCAGGAAGATCCATCAGCCAGACCAGCCAATACGGCCGGCTGAAATTGAATGAGCACAGACAAAGGACACACACACATACGCCAACAAACGACAGCAGTCCGCTAGATCCTACTAACGCCGGCGTTCGCTGCAGGGTCGTTGAAAAACCAGGAGCGCGAGAACCGGAACCATATTTCACGATCACAGTCTATATGCGGATAAAGCACCACTTCGAGTCGCCAAGGATGAAGTCGTCACGCCATTGCCAGTTGATTAATGGACGGAATATAGGCCGCACGGATACTTGACCTGTCCATTGGTCAGATACTTGCCTTATACGACGTTGGCCAAATTATGGTTCGCCCCCGTGTGATGCAATGCGTGCAATTCGACACAA